CCAACGATAGGGAATTTAGAAATCAATGGGCCTCTTCACCATAGGGGCGTGACTAACCATCCCCACCCAGTCCTCAAATAGGCCACGCTCAGCTTTTTAGCGCAGAGCAACTTCCCGGCGTCTTCACGGAGACTTCAGAGTTGTCTACCGATGACGAAGCTTCTGTGAGAGAAGCGAAACGTCCTTTTTTGTTTTTTGTTTTTTACCCACAGGTCAGATGACGACTGACGGAACCCTTTCCACGATGAATAATAATAATAATAATAATAATAATAATACAGTAATAATAATATCCATCTTTCCATTCATTTCTTTTCCATCCAATTGGAATATCCCAATCCAACTGGAATATCCCCGTCTCAAACCGTGACACGTGTAAGCCAATAGATGTCATTTCTGCTTCTTACCTTCAACCACCAATAAAAGACATTACATTCCTGTTTTTCACCACACTAATAAAGTAGTTAGTTTCCTGTTCACTCAAAAAGTGCACTTCTGTTCTGGGTCTGAGTTTCAACATGTTTGTTTACCTCTACTTGTGTATTTCCAGTGCATTGCGCGTCAGATGCCGTACATATACAAGTAGTTTCTGTACTCAAAAGACCGAGATTGCTTGCTGACAGAACATGCGCAGAAATCAACCAAATGTCCCGTTCATCAGAGATATTCCAATACGCTTTTATACAAACCCAATTACACTGAAGACAGGTCTGGACTGCAGGCAGGCCAATCAAGTACCCACACTGTCTTACTACAAAGCCATACTGTTGTAGCATGTACAGAATCTGGTTTGGCATTGTGTTGGTGAAATAAGCGGTCCATGAAAAAGACGTGGCAGCAGATGTTTTTCCACAACTGTCTGTAACTTTCCACATTAATGGTGCCTTCACAGATGTGTATGTTACCCATGCCATTTGAATTAACACAGCCCCATACAATCACATCACGTTGCGTCCACAAAAGTCCGGATGGTTCTTTTCCTCTTTGACCCAGAGGACACAACGTTCACAATTTCCAAAACCAATTTGAAACATGGACTCCACACGTTTGCACTTTATATCAGTCTATAATCTTGGGCCCAGAGAAATGATAAATGGCTTTTGCTTTGCACAGTACAGCTTTAAGTTGTGCTTACGGATGTAGCGTCGAACTGTATTGGCTGATATTGTTTTTCTGAAGTGTTCATGAGCCGATGTGATGTCCTTGATGTTAGTGTTTTATGCAGTGGCACCTGAGGGCACCAAAGGTCCCAGGCATTCGGTGTCGGTGTTCGGCATTGCTGCTTACAGTACAGCTTGCAGTAATTTCTTCAGATTCTGTGAACATTTTGATGATATTATGGACTGCAGAAGATGAAATCCCTAAATTCCTTGCAATTTTACTTTGAGGAACATTGCCCTTTTACTGTTTGACTATTTTCTCATGCAGTTGTTCACAAAGGGGTGAACTTCGGCCCATCTTTGCTTGTGAATGACTGACCAATTCAGGAAAGCTCATGGTGATGGCACGGCTTCAAACAATGGACTTTTTTAAATATAATGTTTCGTATCATATCATAATATGATCACACAGCACTACCCTGGCACAGGAAGGAGTCATAGGTGCCTTTCCTGCACAATGCTGAAGTGGGGCGCGATGGCTCCCCTCCAATTGTGAACATGCATCTTAGACAAACATACCGGCAATTTTTTTGTTAGAAATGGTACATTTTTTTTTTTGTCAGTTAAAAATGAAATTAGAGGTCAAATGTGTAAAATAACATTAATGTTAACATAACATTAAGGTTAGCTGTTATTGATGCTGCAGTTTTAAAAATTCAGGCCCAGGGCTCGACACCATCTCTACTGAAATCAAAGGTTGACTTGTTGATCTGTTGTCTCATGCACATTATTTAATGTCACACCTAAATTTGTTCACTTTACAGCAAAAAAAGGAAACTGGCCTCACTTTTCCATTGTTTATGTAGGGCAGTGACTGTTGCTTGTTACCTGGAACACGGATTCATTTTCACCCCTGCTTTTGGTGTGTTGCTGTTTTGTTTTCCGGAAGTGTGGCAGTCAAGCTATACAATGTGATATGTGAACGATGCATATGTTTATTTTATTTTATAGGGTACAACATGATCCATTTCACGCCTTTGCAGACGCTAGGAGAATCCAGGTCATGTTACTCCTTGGCAGACCAGCTTACCTTTAGCCCTGAGTTCAGCCCAGATGGCCAAAACTATAGCTGGACAGATGTGAGGGCATTGGTGGAGAAGTTGAAGAAAGAATGGAACATACTGTGTATAACTGATGTGGTGTACAACCACACTGGTAGGTAACTAAATGTGTGTTAATGTGTGTTATATACGGTTTGGTCCGGAAGTATTTAGACACTTCAATAGTTTTTGTGATTTTGTCTCAATACACAATCACAAGGGTTTTATTCTAAAATGAATCAATTATCAATTGATGAATAGAAAAATCCATAGTAGTCTTCAGAAGGTGGGCATATCTTTGTCAAAATCTACAGCCGAGAGACTTTTTGAATACATCGGGTTAAATATAATGCAAACCATTTGAAAAACACAGGAAAGGCATACTGGAGCATAACAGTATTTTTTTAAAGCCTCCCATTGAAGGCATTTTTCTGACAGATGAATCAACTTGTATCACACTTTGGAAATTTGCTTTCTTCCAGAATAATTAACTGTCTCTAAATATGCAGATTGTTATTTTATTGTGGTCATGTAAATTATATTTGTCACAAAAAGCGTTACATAAAAGATATAACGTGCAATTTTAGGAATAAATTTCATTCCAATCATTCCCAAATGGTCAAAATGATCGAACACTTTAAAATCACGCAGGAATAATTGATTTACCAATGAGGATTTGATTTTCATGCAAGATGGTGCTCCTCCACGTTTTGCTCTTGGTGTTTGTGAATGGCAGAATGCTCACTTCCCTGGGGAATGGCCAGGTCATCATGGTCCACATGCGTGGCCTACCAAAAGTCCTGACTTTACACCCTGCAACTTTTCACTTTGGGTGTTGGTTCAAGGAGCAAGTCTGCTTACTAAATTGACAACTTGGGAAAAACTTGAAGGACGAAACGTTTTGTCTTTCATCCCATAAGACTTCTTCGTGAAATCAGTTAACCCCGCGGTTGCTGAACGGCTTGAGAAGCTGATGACAAATTTTGGCACCCATTTCTTGACATTAGTGATAGTTCAGAAATAAATTACAAGTACTTAAAAGTTGGGAGTTACTTTTCAATGACCTCAAGACAAGTCTATTTAAATAGCCCTTAAGCACCAAAGATTCTCAAATGGATTCACAAGCCCACAAGTTATGAAGAATAACAACACCCCCCTTATCTAACTCCGCCCTCTATATCCAAATTCTATGAACAGACTTGCGCTGGGCACAAAAATAGGGCCCTATGGCTCTGTGCGAAGGAAGTGTTCCACTGCGTGAGCCAAATGATGATCATTTAGGTCACAGTTTATTTTTATATTTGCAGCCGCTAATAGCAAGTGGATCCGAGAGCATCCAGAATGTGGTTACAACCTGGTGAACTCTCCCCATCTACGTCCAGCCTGGATCTTGGACAGAGCTATCTGGCATTTAACCACTAGAATCGTAGACGGACGGTACAAGGACAGTGGCCTTTCTGCTAATATCACCAATAAAAATCAACTGAATGTAAGTGCATTATTGCTTTTTACACTTTGTTTTAGATTGTTGTCAAACTTCAGAGGAAACATATTGGCACTTCAGTGGTTATCCCTCTTTCGACAGCTAAATTTGCATTCACCTCTGGTGAATTCCGTTGATTGGGCGCACCTATCTATATAAGGTCCATAGTTGACAGCACATGTCGGAGCACAAAAATCATGAAGTCAGAGGAGTTTTCTGCTGACCTCTGAAACAGAATTGTTTAGCGTAACAGAGGGTTCATAAATATTTCCGCAGCGTTGAAGGTTCATATGACCTGCATCATCCGTAAATGGAAGAAGCTCAAAACCACCCAAACTAAAATTGAGCAATCAAGGCAGAAGGGTCTTACGACCAGGTCATAAATGCACATTGCACGTACGCTGACTGCACACATTGTTTCAGGCTTCATGTCTGTACGGGTTCCATGCATGCGCATTAGTCCACGGTAAGTTGAGTTTACATATTCTCCCTGTGCCTGCCTGGGTTTTCTCTGAACTTTTTTCGCCAAGCTCATCGTCTCTGTGGAGACGCCCTTGGCATACCAGTCTTGGACCCAAGAAAGAGTGATGAGGGGCTGATTGGAACACTAGTGTCCAAGCGTATTTTTAATTCAGGGGAGGGTACAGATAACATGTTTTGGGAGCAGGCTGGCAACAATTTCAGCCATCTTTGGAAGTATTTTAACCTGTGACTTTCAACGGCATCAATTAGCTCAATGCTCAAACAATTTTTCAAGGCCAGATACCAACTGATCCTCGTTCTTTTCCATTTTATGAAGAAACTCCAAAACCGCATCCACTCTGCAATTGAATGTGGTCAACACATGATTCTGAGTATTGGTCACCCACCCCACACCATCCAGAAAGACCGGCAGCTTGTTCCCTTCCAATGAAGCTGCTCCCATCAGCTGAATTTTGTGATAGATCAGGAAAGTGACGACTCCAAAGAGCAGGGTACCTGTTATCAGAAGACCAATAATATAGATGTCTTCCACATCCTTGACGGACAATATTGACAGGCACACCATCGCCACGTCTGCCAAGGATCTACGATGTACCCAGCTGCAATGAGAAGAAAAAGAAGAAGAGGAAGAAGAAGACTTGTATTAAGAGACAGGAGTAGCCTCGCATGGTGGGATGCCTCCGAGTGGCGCGAGGGGGGAACGCCGGGGCTCTTGGGCCCCAGACGCGGCTAAATGCCCACCAGCTGGCGGGGAAGGAGGTGGGGTCTCATCGGAAGGTGAGGCGCCCAGGACTCGCCCCGCCGGAACGGAGGGGAGTGGGAGTAGCCGCCCCACAACCCTCCTTAAACATAATCAGGCGAGGGCCCTTCCGGGGCCCGCACTGGGTGTGAACCTCGCGAGGCAGCAGAGAGAGTCGTACCGGGTGTGGGACCCGGGAGTGGGGGTAAGTCCCTGACGGGGGCCGATTGCCCAGGAGGAGGAGGAGGAGACAGGAGTAGAAGTGTGAGCGACTTGGAGTGGATTCTACCCTTAGCCAAAATGCAGGCCGGGAATCTGGTTGAAGTAATACAATACAATACCATACAATACATCTTTATTTATATAAGCCATTTTAAACTTTCAATTCAGACTTCTTGGCATTTAAGTAGTTAAAACAGCAGCAAGCGCCCACTAACGTACTTCCGCTAGACTTCACAGTTCAAGAGATTGGCCAATAAGTGCATGTGAAATATATGTGACTGTATGTGTGTGTAAAACCCTTTGGACAGACACCATATGATGTAGATGCACCCACTCTATTTACCACATTAATCGAATTGGATTTTTTTTTTTAATCTGTTGAAGACATCTTGTGTAAAAACAAAAAGCAGTTTCGACATTTTGTCCAGTTGCTTTGTCCCTTTCTCCTGCTATAGGGCTCGACCATTCACCTGAACTGGTAGGAAGTGCGGAAGTTGTTTCTGCATAACCCCTATTATCCAACACCAAGAAAAATGTGGCGAGTCAAAATGCTGCGGGGTTAATATTGGGAAATCATGAGCCAGAGTGGCTGGTTATCACAAAACAACGTCAAGCCCTGCCTGTACATGATACAACGAATCTGCACAGTCTAGGAAACTGTTTGCGTGTCAGTGCAAATCCACCTCTTCTGTCCACCATGCAGGAAAGATGAATGTTGCTAACTTGAGGACCACTCTTGGCATTGTTGCAAGTCTCTTTTTTTCAAGAATAGTCACTACAGGCGTCAGAGAAGTCACTAAATATAGGGACAATGTAGCTAAGTTGACAACACTACATACCGTACACACGCATGCACATGAAAATAAAAGCTCCGCCTATTTTACTTTTTTTTTTTTTTTTTTTTCCACGGTGAACAGAGCAGATGTTTCCTGTGAGTTGTACTTTGCCTTGGTTTTTTGCAAAATCTATGAGCCATCGGCGTACATTTTAGATGTATTGCTATACGTCTACTCAGAAGAAGAAAGGTAAACCAGTCATTGTAGAATCATTACACAATTCTGGGTGACCTTTTTTTTAGCTTCCATTTGAAAAGCACTCCGCATACAGTGGAACCTCAAGTTTTGACCATCCCTTTTTACAAACAATTAAAGTTATGCACAAAATATTGGCAGAAAAATGATCCCCATTTACATATTATTTTAGGTATACTCAGTTCAACTCAACTTTATTTATGGAGCACTTTATAACAAGCATTGCTGCATATAAAGTGCTGCAGATGAAGTAGAAATAAATCATCCAATGGCAAAGACAGAAAAAACACAAAATGAATAACAAAAACACAGCAGACACCATAAATCACTACAAATTCTCATGCTGAGTCAAAAGCCATGGACCAATAATGTGTTTTCAGATGAGTTTTAAAAATGGACAGAGAGGGGGGCTTGCCTAATGGCAACGGAAAAGGCTCCACCCATTTGAGCTTCTGAGGCTCTGGGCGGGTCCATCGGTATGGAGGAGTTCAGAGAGGCAAGGTGCGGTGGACCAATTGGACATGCTTGAGGGAGGACTGGCTGACACCAAAATAAAGTGCATGACAGAAATCCACCCGAGATGTAATGAAGGCCTGGCTTAATGTTTCTAAGAGCTGTTGAGAAAGGGCACGCTTTACCTTAGCCAGCTGCCTTGGATGAAAAAAGATAGATTGAACAACAGCATCGATTTTCCAGTACATTGAATATCTATGTCCAATTTAATAAGTTTGAAACTGTTGGCTTTCGATGAGACACCAGGTTGGGGGGGGGGGCAGGTCAGTAGGGTGTGATATACAAGGCCCACTAGAACCATAACTTCTGTTTTCATTCATTATCCGAGCCACTTATTCTCACGAGGGTTGCTGGTATGTTGGAGCCTATGCCAGCTGTCTTCGGGCAGTAGGCGGGGTACACCATGAACTGCTTGCCAGCCAATCGGAGGGCACATGTAGACAAACAAACATTCACACTCACAATCACACCTCGGGACAATTTTGAGTATTCCATTAAAATGCTATGCTTGTTTTTAGAATGTGGGGGGGAAACCGGAGTACCCAGAGAAAACCCACACAGTCATGGGGAGAACATGCAAACTTGACACAGGAATAATATCCCCAAAAATCTGGAATGGTATAGTGTTAGACAGGTTCAAAAAAAGACAGGTTCAAAAGGTAGCTGCATAATAGACAACAGTTTGTTAAGTTGTGTGATGTTTCCTCATCTTATTTGGAAATTGTTTGTGGTGTCTCTCAACGGTCATTTTGGTGCCCTAAACTAGTTTTTGTTGTTGTATAGAAATGATGTTTGTAAGTTATGACACTGGTGTTGTTTGCTGATGACAGGGTTCAAGAACATACATTTCTATATACCGTATATGTACACACAAATATATATATCGATTCCTCGCCCTTCCTTAGCTGTTTAATTGATTAACAGATTGAATTCTTTTTCTGTATTGTACTGTATTTATTTTAACTATGCACCAGTTAAAAACAAATTGAACATATATTTATTCGGTGGCTGCAATGAAGTAATTCTTTGTCAATTAATTTCAGTGGCAAACATTGCTGTCAGTAGGGTGTGATATACAAGGCCCACTAGAACCATAACTTCTGTTTTCATTCATTATCCGAGCCACTTATTCTCACGAGGGTTGCTGGTATGTTGGAGCCTATGCCAGCTGTCTTCGGGCAGTAGGCGGGGTACACCATGAACTGCTTGCCAGCCAATCGGAGGGCACATGTAGACAAACAAACATTCACACTCACAATCACACCTCGGGACAATTTTGAGTATTCCATTAAAATGCTATGCTTGTTTTTAGAATGTGGGGGGGAAACCGGAGTACCCAGAGAAAACCCACACAGTCATGGGGAGAACATGCAAACTTGACACAGGAATAATATCCCCAAAAATCTGGAATGGTATAGTGTTAGACAGGTTCAAAAAAAGACAGGTTCAAAAGGTAGCTGCATAATAGACAACAGTTTGTTAAGTTGTGTGATGTTTCCTCATCTTATTTGGAAATTGTTTGTGGTGTCTCTCAACGGTCATTTTGGTGCCCTAAACTAGTTTTTGTTGTTGTATAGAAATGATGTTTGTAAGTTATGACACTGGTGTTGTTTGCTGATGACAGGGTTCAAGAACATACATTTCTATATACCGTATATGTACACACAAATATATATATCGATTCCTCGCCCTTCCTTAGCTGTTTAATTGATTAACAGATTGAATTCTTTTTCTGTATTGTACTGTATTTATTTTAACTATGCACCAGTTAAAAACAAATTGAACATATATTTATTCGGTGGCTGCAATGAAGTAATTCTTTGTCAATTAATTTCAGTGGCAAACATTGCTTCGATCTCACTTTTGATGAGTGTACCAAACCAAACTTCAACAGGATATTGTTTGTCCACTGAATGCATTCAATTTTTCAAAAAATGTGTTTTAGCTATATAATGGTGTTTACCATTTGGATTTCAAAATGATTACAAAAATGCCTTTTGTCAATGTGTGTGTGTGTGTGTGTGTGTGTGTGTGTGTGTGTGTGTGTGTGTGCGTGTGTGTGTGTGTGTGTGTGTGTGTGTGTGTGTGTGTGTGTGTGTTTCAGGAGATCCGAAGTGTGCTGTGGCAGGATGTGTATCCTCGGATCAAACTGTGGGAGTTCTACCAGGTCAAAGTGGACAGCGCTGTGGAGCAGTTCAGAACTCTCTTACAAAATGGTCTGTACATCTCTGCGTTTCTAAATTAGCTCCTCTCTGTTAACGTCCATGTTGTTCATGGAAGCAGAACACAGCTTTTCATGATAATGATATTTGGTAAAATTCCTTACTGTAAACAGGTCATGATGGTTTCGGGAGAAACGTATCAATTTGTGTTACGCGTGGTTGTTATGTTCAAATGCCGTTGGAAAAAGGTGTCCTTTAAGGGGTCTCTGTAGGCACAAAGTTTGAGACCCTTTAATCGATGTAATTGTTCTAATCCAGATTGAATACAATATCATCTTGCGTAGGGCGAGAGGGAGGAGGGACACTCAAAGCGAGCGATGGACACATGCATCTACTGCTGCCTGGACAGCACACACACAAGAAATCCACTTCCGTGCTTACTGTCAAGTATATATGGACAGTACACATATATTGTGTTTTTGAACCTTACGTGACCATTTTTATCATTTCAAAATTACCTGTGGATGAAATAGCAAAGCTTGTTGTAAAAAATGTACAAACAGCTTGCACCTCACTGGGCTGCGTCGTATTTCGGTCGCAACATGTGTGTTCATTGACTGTCTTGTGGATTAATAAGTCATACAATGTAAAATATTGTATGGGGAACCTCAAAACACGATTCAGGCATTGTTCATATTCCTGAGAGTTGTCATAAAAGCAAAGTTACAGTACAATTGAATTGAATTAGTTTTAATTTGTTGCTGACTTTGGCTGTCAGGAAGTTATAAAAATACCCAGAAAAACTGCACTTTCCACATCCTTTTGGATTGATAACTTTTTCTTTTTCTTTTTTTTTTCCTTTTTTTCACCGTGCCTAGAGTAATATCATTATTGTATCATTCAGAGATGAAAGTCCTCCGGATTTTCCCGGAATTCCGGGTTTTTCAATTTTTTATGAAAATTTCTCCGGAGAATTGAGGAAAATAAAATTAATCCGGATATTAGTTGACAACATTGGACGAAGACGCGTTTGAGTTCGTTGTATTGCTTTCACGAGCGTAGCCATATTGAGGCACTAACACTTGTAAGAGTAAAGAGATTTTTGTTTGTGTAATAACGACAGAAGACATGATGGCATTTGACGAATGGTTTAGTAGAACGAATGGCAACTCGCAATAACAGTAGCAAGCGTCATTTTGCCACTTGGGTTATACCATCTCAACGAGAATGTGGGGGATAGCCCCCAAACAATTTTCGTCTCTTTATAAACACACTTGCTAAACCCCAGTGGAACGAATAAAAGACGCCGTGGACAAGACAGTTGTCGTAAAAAATTATATTTGGCCAAAAAGGGAAAAACACAGATTGGCAGAAAATCGTGTCCGTCTGACTTCGAGTGTCGTCTCGGCTAACTTAGCTTAGCTGTTGTCGTGTGTGACGTCATTTGCGTCGGCGCTGATTGGTTGAAATCAAAAGACGCGCTTGCGTACATGTTCGCGCTGAAACACGCACAGCAGAGAGCAGCGGACTATCTACGGCTGAGGCTCGCTTAGCTTGAGTGGAGTCGCCACAACAGTAATACCCTCGCCTCGCATTCTCATGGCCTCGCCATATCTTGGAGATTTCGAAATTTCGGCCCGAATTCATGTTTAATCGGCCAAGTGCGTGCGTGCGCGCGCGCGCGCGCGTGTGTGTGTGTGTGTGTGTGTGTGTGTGTGTGTGTGTGTGTATGTGTGTGTATGTGTGTGTGTGTGTGTGTGTGTGTGTGTATACACACACACATTTATTTACTTTTTTCCGGAATTTTCAGAAAAGTCCACTTTCATCTCTGATCATTATAAAGATAGCTGTCAAAAATATTGAGATTCTACCTATCTGACATTCATAGGCTCCAGCACCCACCTCCCCCACCCCCCTCCCCGTGACCCTAATTGTGACGATAAAGCGGATCGGAAAATGGATGGCTGGATGGTATATCTTACATTCTCTTTTTTGTATGTTTACTTTGACAGTAAACTTCAACTTGGACTGCCATTAATTAGTTTGAATCCTCGATTTTGAAGAATTGTTCACCTGCTGTCAAACTGCTAATTGTTGTGAAGCGAGTTGAGTTGCGTTCACTGCCCTCTTAGAGTGCTTATATCTAAAATTTTTGCTTGCAAGTCAGTGCAAAAATATTGGCTGAATGAAGCCTCGTCTTGTGAAAAACGTGGTCACGTATCTCAAGGCACAACTGTATATCTACATACAGTCAATGGTAAACAATGTCGTAATCAATTTGTATGTTATATCCATCCATCCATCCATCCAGCATTCCATCCATTTTCTTCCACTTATCCAAGGATGAGTCGTGGATTCAGCAGTTTTAACAGGGAAGCCCAGACTTCCCTTTCCCAAACCACTTCATCCTGCTCTTCCGGGGTGATGCCAAGGCCATCCGGTAGACATAGTCTCTCCAATGTGGCCTGTCCTCCTTTTGGTGGGATGTGCCCAGAACACCTCGTCAGGGAGGCATCCTGATGCCAGATGCCTGATCCACCTTACCTCTTCTTGATGCACAGGAGCATTGGCTTTTCTCAAAGCCCCTCCGGGATGACCGAACTTCTCACCCTTTCTCTAACGTAGAGCACCGGATGGACACCCTAACGAAGAAAATTCATTTGGGACACTTGTATCCAGGAGCTTGTAGTTTTGGTCACGACCCACACCTTGTCAACTTGGGTGAGCGATAAATTGAAAGCTTCGCCTTTCAACCCAGCTCCTTCTTCAAAGACACTTACAGAGTCTAAATCCCTGCCAACGCTGAACCGATCCACCTGTCGATCTTCCGATCCATCCTCCTCGCACTCATGGTACTTGAACTCCTCCACTTGGTACAGGATCTCATCCCAGACACAAAAAAGACAGTCCACCCTTTTCAAACTGAGAACAATGGTTTTAGATTTGGAGGTTCTGATATTGATATGCCAAATCACCCAGTGAGTTTTATCAAATGGATTTTGATTTTAATGAAACACACTGTAATTGTTGAGAGTGATGGCACAACACAAAGTCTCAAATTTTCGGTCAATCAGAGCAGGGGTTTGGAGCAACAGCCCGCCAAATATTTTATATGTTTGGCAAAAAGGGGCATGGCTACCTTCCATTAAACTCTTACATCTCAGAAACTAAGTATTCCAAATCTGCAATAATTTCAAAAATTGTTGCGTATTTTAGTAACCTAATCTTTTGAGCTACTTTGTATAATTTGACCTTGAAATTGACATGTCGATCACATGACCGGAAAAAAGTTATTCATGAAATGTAATCTCTTAAGTGTTGTCCAGAACATATAAAAGTTTCAGCTATGTATTGTTTTTTTTGTTTGTTTGTTTTTTTTTTTGTTTAGTAGCAAGAAGGAGTCAAAGTATCCATACCCCCAGATATTCATTGAACATTCATTGAAAGTTGATTATTCAATGAATTGATACTTTAAAAAACATATGTCAAAGTGCCGGCCCGCGGGCCAAATCCGGCCCGCGAGAATGTTTTCAGTGGCCCCTGGGATGATATTGATTTATGATTAGAACCGGCCCGCGGACCGCAGCAAGCCGAGAGCCCGCAGATCTTTTACACGCACCAAAACTACATTTCCCACAATGCAACGGTGACGCGCCAAGCAGTCGGCCGCTTTATTTAAATATTTATTAGTCGAGCAGTCGTTCCCATAACAGTGACATTAGCTTTCAGATACCCATCAAAAATGGCAAAACGGAAGGTGGACACTGAGAACCGGGGGTTTCAAACAAGGTGGGAGTCGAAGTACATGTTCATGGACGTAGCTGGAAAACCTGTGTGTCTTCTGCGCGGAGAAAGTGTGGCGCGATTGAAATAGTGTAATCTGAGACGACATCATGAAACGAAACACGCAAACAAGAACATGGACATGGAGGGGGAAGGGGGATTTCATTAAAAACGGTATACTTAAAGTTTGTGACGAAGTTTACCCCGAAAAAAAGCAACTCTTTTTAAACGTAAGCATTAGCAGAAACACAATTGCAGTGTTTCGGCAAAGATACGGCAGTGCGTGCTGCGCAGTTTGACGGTTTCCTCCCCGACACAGTGGTCCCGCTGCGCATCCAGGCTGCTCAAACGTTGTCGAAAGTTTGGCAGCACATACGTGTGTGAACAACTATTTTCTTTGATGAAGCTGAACAAAACATCACACAGAAGTCGATTTACTGCTGAACACCCTCACTCAATGTTGAGGATTTGCTCAGCTCAGAGCCTGACCCCAAATATTGATGAACTTGTAGAAAAGTTAAGACACCACCGAGTATCAGCCTCAGCCTCAAAGAAGTGAATATTACTTATAATATACTGTGCAATCACATACTAAGAGTTTTTACTCAGTTCAAGTTTAAAAATTAAAGTGCAATATTTGCTTTCGCTGCTTGTTACTTCTTGAAGAAAGTGTTGTTTTTGGTTTATACATTTTTGCACTTTATTTTATTGTATTTCAATCCAATTATGTTTTAAAAATATTTTATTCGAGTAAATGATCGAAAATTACTGCACTATTATTTGTTTTTCTTTTAAGTAAATTTAGCCTACTTTTGCTAAAAGAGAAAATATGGACTAGTGATAGTGCCTTGAATAATATCGGCTTTTTTCATTCATGTTATGGGTATTTTTATACAAAGGAAATTTTTTGTGCCTGTTGAAAATTAAAGTTTACTGACATAGCCATAAAAAAATGTTGCTTTATTTATCTGACCGTATTGGAATGTATTTGTTAGGTTTTCGGTCAATTAAATTTGGTTCAATAAACAATATGTGGTTATTTTTAAAATTTTCAATGAACATTCGATCAGTCCGGCCCTCGGCTTGCAGCAAAAATTTTTATCTGGCCCTCCGTCCATTTGACTTTGACACCCCTGCTTTAAATTCTTATTGCTGCCAAACAAAAAAAAAATTACACATCTGAATCTTTTATGTTTTAGGGAACATGTGAGAGATTGAACTTCAAAAAAAAAAAAAGTTGAGTGCATGTGGTCCACAAGGTCAAAAGGTGACTAAAATATGCACCAATCTTCTGAGCAATTACGGATTTGGAATCCTAGTTGGATTCCCTTTCCAACAATAGCTGTTTTGTGAAGACTGGCCCAATAGTTCCTGAGACACAAGAAAGTGTCCGGGCGCCTTTTTGCCAAAAAAGATAAAAATTTGGCAGGCCATAGCTCCCAATCCCCTCTTAAATCTGAGAAATCTGACACCCCCCTCTACTTTATCCCCAAATAAAGTGTAATCCGCGTGTAGCTATAGCACACCCTCTAGTCACCCTCCTTAACAAGGGACCACCGCCCCAGTCTGCAAATCCAGCGGCGCTGCCCTGGTTGTCCACCAGACATTGCAGAGGATTGTCAACCAGAAAGAGCCCGACCACATCCAGGCTTATCACAAAGACCTTTTTAAACATTTTGGTGGATCAGCCGCGACAATAGGAGAGTTCACCTGAAAGACCCCAGATTCTGCTTCCTCACATGAAGGCGTTTCCGTGTCATTGAGAAGGTCTTCAAAGTCTTCTGCATTCATCAATCTGTCCATCCATTCTTCCATTCCACAGCAGCCTCAAAAAAGAGATCCAACCTCTTTTCATCCTCTCCGCTCCAGCCAGCTCTTCCAAAGGGATGCAGAGGTGTTCCCAGCATACCCGAGAGACAGTCTTTCCAGCGTGTCCCGGGTCATGGGTCTTAATAATCTGATAAATATGTGTCACATGTACCATGTCTGTATTTCAAGGTGCGAAACCAGACCATAATAAGACTGGAGGAAAAAATGGCCTGATCATCATCCAGGACCCTGGTTGGCGACGTTATGGCAACTCAGTGGACATGAACTCTGCTCTTGAAACTTTTGTACCTCACAGGTAAGACACATTTTAACACAGCTCATTGTAGAAATGTATGTGCCATTAAATTCAATATTTGATATTCTGGATCTTTTGACCAGAGCAGAAAAAATGTGTGTTTTTTTTCTTCTTCCCTGTTTGTGTTTTATTATCTAACTGATTTGATAATTATCTTTTCACGCAAATTTTCAAGCCACAGAAGGACATTTCAAGCATGTACACATTTAGAAAATTACAAATAACCATTTGCACACATCTTGAAACCTATATTTCTAAAAATATTGTAGATTGCATAGTTTACAGTACTGTACATGCCTCTGGTAATTTTGAGGTGTGTTAAACAGAAAAACATAAGTGCAAGCAAGTTGTTTTGCTCTTTACATAACTGTATGTCATTTTCAAATCATGTATTGAATCTCACCCTTAATTCAAATCATTTTCAATATGATTTGAACATGACCATATACTCAATATTATTATAAATATGTATTATTGTGGTGAAATAGTAAACAACAACAAAATATTTACTTTTTAAAATCTTTGTGATTTTAAATGTTTTTGTAAGGATAGTGTCCTGTCATCTAAAACAAAATTTTGTGGTTGTTTTGTTTCGATATTAATAGCATGTAATTCATGAAATGTGGCTGGTACTACAGTTTATAAATGTTAAATATAATTTGATGTTGGTGGGGCGTGAACATTACTGAGCCCGATCCTCTGTGGCTGCCACAAATCTTGTATTGTCACAGACAATGTGTCACAAAATGAGATATATTGATATAAATATGTATTGTCGAAAAGATAAATTATTATGCAGACTGCCATCTTCCTGTCTTCCTTTGTATTTGATTCTTCTATTGTTGTTGGAAATCTGATTTAGGAATGCCAAAACTCCACAGTGCATCTCTCATTTTCTTTTATCCACATACATGTCATGAAGCAGTTTTTTTTTTTTTTAAAGAATAATTGTTTTTGCTGTTCGTACAGTTTTTCCCCACAGCACATAGAGGAATGCTGCCATTTGTTGCGACAGAAGTTGAACCAGCTTAATGAGGAACAACTGCACATTGTGCATCAGCATCAAGAACAGGTAGCGGAACATAACGTAACATGTTTCCTCGGTAAAATATTGATAACGCAATGTCTCCTAAACTGATTAGAAAGTAGGTTATAAAGTTGACTGTATGAGTAGATGTGACGAAAAGTCAACACATGGCGAACATCAACAGTCAAACGCCACGTTGAAGTCACTGGCATTCCATATCATTTTTTTAATGACATCAGAACTGCAATCTTCCAGTTTTGGCTCACATCTACTGTTCGATGTCAAAATCAGGTTGTGTTTTTTTTCGCTTTTAAACAAACATTTCTACCAGGTTGAACATTTTTGTGATTGACCAACTGTGCAGTTTGTAAAGCCAAATAATAATAAAGCCAATAGATAAACGGTTTAGATAATAGACAGATGAAAACAATCATTATCTCTTATCACTCTTTTTAGTTCATATTTGCTTGTAATTGTTTGCTTGCAGGCAGCCAACTGCATTGTGGGAAATGTAATGTATGAGCGCCTGGCAGAACATGGACCCAAATTAGGCCCTGTTAGCAAGAAGAACCCTCTTGTTACCAGGTAAACTTTTGTTCTTCGCTTGTCTGTCTGTTTAGGCTGACCGGGAAGCATCAGTGTTTCATTGACCCTTGGAGAACAAATGGGATCTATGACGCATGTAGAAAGACAAATATTTTAATTGAGTATTAGCAAATCAAGGACAAAAGCTGATGAGAAATGGTTTCAAATGAAAAATGTTTTTTCATATAAAAATGAAGAAGTAAATATAAGAGCAAGTCAGAGAACATTATCACACATTATTAGTGATAATTTTACAGTTTACCTCCAGCAAGTCCCAGGGACTCGCTGATCAGAAAAGTACAGTATGAGTCCCATTATGCATTTAGAGAGTCCCAAATTTCGAATTCTGAAATGGTCTACTTATTCAATTGCATATGATAATAACACAAACAACAACATAGACATACAATTATAAACAAATGCTGCAAAAATTTAAATAATTCAGTAGCAGGCCTGAGGAATTCGGAAATTCACGGTAACCATTTTTCAGTTCTGTCGGATTACCCAATGGGAAACCACGGTAACTAATTTTGGGTTCCATAAACGTTCATCATGGGAACCCATTTTTCTATTTTGACTGATTTTCATAATCAAGAATTCTGAAACTCAAAAGTGTAATGTTTCAAGGGTAAATGTTTGAAAACTATGCATTAACAATGAACATTACATCAACAGCTGTGTACTCAAGGTTTATTCCAAAAAATAAATGGATCAAAAACTAGTGTACTCATATGGCATCATGAATACAGCATACCACAAAATCTGAGTATTTTTTCTAATCTTACACTGCAAAGTTTAATTTACTGGTAAGTATTGATGTGGCTTGACATCCTCTTCCCAAAACGATGCATGTGTAATCTACTATCAATTTGACGAAAGAATCTAACACACATCATCATTAGTTCTACCAACAGTTAACATTAGCATTACTATACCTTGTGACGGATGTTTTATTCATAAAGTTACCATGCTACAACCAGTAAATTATAGAATAACCGATACTGTTTCATCATATTTGTCATAACGATTAGCCTATAGATCTAATGACCAACTTGCCTCGTAATCGTGCCTCCCGTCGTGTGTCGCTCTCGTGTTCTGTGCATACATCACAGGTGAGTTTAGTGATACGCCCTTCGGAGGATTCATACGAAAAATCAGACTGACATTCCCATTTCTTAAATGTCGTAATTAGTAGATCTTTGTGAGTTTTTTTCGCCGCCATCTCAAACTTTCATCCACGCGATTCCTCAGTTCGCGGACTAAAATAGCAACCCGCATGCGCACATAACGTTATCTGTTCCGTTCCCAACAACACTGAAAACAAAAAAAAAGTAAATTAGAAGAAACACACTCAGACACCACACCACAACCACACATACAGGCACAGTGAAATTGCGTTGATCACACAGGAGAGATTTGATTGCATACAGTCAACTCGTGTGCGGTGACTTTTATGGTTAAACGATATTTCGGTACCGTCAAAATGACGCCACGGAAACGACACACTATCGGTAACGATAGTTACCGTGAAATCCTCAGGCCTGCCGTAGTTTTTTTTTGTTTTCACTCAGAAATTTCCTTGGGTCCCAAAAACGCACATTATTTGGAACTGTGCGTCCCGCGGGAAAATTATGCATCTAGGATGCGGGACGCAGAGGTAATGAGATGGCTGCATTATTGTATGGAACATGAAAAACGCAAGAATTGTGTTAAATAATATAATTATTTTTTATGGACTTCCCAGAATACTTCATAAAAGAAAAAAAGATTATTGATAAAATTAGAGGTATTGCTAAATTAATGGGTTTTTTGTTGCCAATGTTGGTTATAAGATAAGACAAGATAACCTTTATTTGTCCCACACTGGGGAAATTTGCAGTCTACACCAGCAAAATTTGGGGGGGGGGGATAAAGTGTTTCATTGCACAAAATAAATGTTTCAGAAAAGAACTGTACACAATTCAATATAAGTGCAATATAAAATAAAGCATTAGCAATATATTTGTAGAATAAATATAATAAATAATAAATAGCGAAAGCATAGAAAACACAGCGTTAAGGTGGCTGTGCTATTTATAATGGTTACAAGTTTTCACGCATGTTTATTTGTTTATTCAGCAGCCTGACAGCAGTCGGTAGGAACGAGCGACGGTATCTCTCCTTCTTGCAGCGCGGGTGTAACAGTCTCTGGCTGAAGGAGCTACCCAGTGCTATCAGGGTGGGCTGGAAGGGGTGGGAGGGACTGTCCATCATAACTTTTAGTTTAGCGAGCATCCTCCTGTTGCCCACCTCCTCCAGAGTGTCCAGGGAGCAGCCCAGGACAGAACTTTGATCTCACCAAAGAAATTTGTAGGCCAAGAAATAACAATAGAACAGATAAAAATTGCATAATATTACTAAAAACTCCTCCGTGTTTATTAGTGCTGTAAATAACAGAGATATAATTTTGTATTCTTAAAAACAAAAAACCAACTCAAAAATCCACTGATTGCTACGATATGAACAATGTATCAATAAAAAATATTTTGGAATATGTGGCACCGTCATACTCTTCATGTGTAACCTGTCCTTTGAAACTGGTATTTTCCCCTTAAAAATGAAAACAGCAAAAATTACTCCTTTCTATAAAAGTAGATCTTTTTATAAATCTATCTACAACCTACAGACGAATGTCACTGTGTCGCCAGTTTAAAAAAAATTGCATGGTGAACAAAATACACAATAATTGACTTTGCCGCAGTATTCTGTTTGAAATCAGACAACAAAAGTGTTGCGTATAAAATAATGAAATGAAATAAAGCCTATGTTCATATCCAAAATTGACCCAAGAGCAGACCTTGCCATTGGCTCCACTGTATCAATATCACAAGGACATACCTGTACCTTCCAATACAGTGTCAGAACTAACCAGCCACCTTGATATACTGCTCAGATCAGGACTCTTCTTTCCAGATTTCTCAGATTGACTGGGTGGAATACTTGGTGAATGAAGTCTGTCTGATCCAAGTGTTTGCTGTAGCTGAATTCAGCAACTCTGTATTTTGTTGCATTGTTCATCGAAATATTCGCAATAGTTTTCCAATAATAATCGTTTGTTCACAGGGCCTGAATTGTTTCTTTTTTTCCTTCTCTCAGGTATTTCACCTTCCCATATCAAGATATGACTCTGGAGCATGAGATGCAGATGCTGGATGAACCAGACAAGACATGTCACTTCCTGGCTTTCAATGGTTGGGTGATGGGGGATGATCCTCTGCGCAACTTTGCTGAGCCAGGTAAACTCATTAAGTGTACACAAATCATTGTATTCTCTTACGTTTAACACAACGTCCAAATTTCTTTGGGTTTGTACAAAGGGACATAAAAAATGCTTAGTGAGTTAATTAAAAACGTTTAGTCGTTCTAAAAAGGACTCCTGAAACCATTTGAAAGTTAATTGATACGTGTGTACTAACCATGATATTGTAGTGACCCTGACTGTAAAAACTGACTCTCAAAATTTTCATTCATTTTTTTATAGCCACATTTCATTGAGCGTAACCTCTCTCTCCTGTGGTTGAGAGGACAAAAAAATTCATCTGTTCTGTATGTTGCACAAAGAGCACATTTGACAATAAAGTCGAGTCAAATCAGCTTTTATTGTCAAATATGCTCTATGTGTAACATAGAGCACAGATGAAATTACTTTCCTCTCTCAACCACAGTGCAAACATGTAGTGCATTGAACACCAACAGCTAAAATATACGTTAAAATTCCATAAGACATAAATATATAAATATGTTAAATAAAATAAATGAACAAATAGCAACAACAGACAACCAAGGGCACTTGTGAATATTGTATATTCGTAGTTACTTGTTTTAAGTGCAATAGTCGGATGTCAGATACTAGGGGAGCCACACCGATTGTGGCAGGAGGCAGGGTTAGACAGGGGGCAGGGGGGGCAGAACATGGAGGGAGTTTAGTCTCCTGACCGCCTGGTGGAATAAACTGTTCTTGAGCCTGGTGGATTTAGCAGAGAGACATCGCAGTCTCCTCCCCGACGGCAGCACGTAGAAGAGGCCGTGAGACGGGTGGGTGGGGTCACCTGCGATCTGGGTGGCTTGGCGGGTCAGACGAGAGTTTTAAGTGCCCGTGAGTGGAGGAAGAGAGACACCAATGATCTTCTCAGCCGCTCTCACAATGCGCTGCAGACTCTTTCTGCAGGACACGGTACAAGCAGCGTACCACACGGTGATGCAGCTGGTCAAGATGCTCTCAATGGTGTCTCTATAGAAAGTCTGCATCATGGGGGGCGGGGCTCTTGCTCTCCTCAGTTTGCGGAGGAAGTACAGGTGCTGGTGGGCTTTTTTGGCCAGTGAGGTGGTATTTAGGCTCCAGGTCAGGTCTTCAGAGATGTGCACACCAATGAACTTTGTGGTACTCACCCTCTCCACTGCTGCACCGTCGATGGTCAGTGGAGCATGCTGGGTGTGCGTTCTTCTCAAGTCCACAGCAATCTCCTTCGTTTTTTCCACATTCAGGTGGAGATTGTTGTCTTTGCACCACATGGCAAGCCTGCTCACCTCACTCCTGTAGATCATCTCATCGTTGTTGTTGATGAGACCCACCACAGTCGTGTCGTCTGCAAACTTAAGGAAGAGGTTGGAGCAGGATGAGGGAGTGCAGTCGTGGGTTAGCAGAGTGAAGAGGAGGGGGCTCAGCACACATCCTTGGGGGGCCCCTGTGTTCATCATGATGGTGCTGGAGCTATTTCTGCCTACCCGATCTGCCTGTGGCCTCCCCGTCAAAAAGTCCAGCAGCCAGTTACACATGGAGGTGTTGAGCCCCAAATGGTCCAGTTTGTGGATGAGCCGCTGGGGGATGATGGTGTTGAATGCTGAGCTGAAGTCGATGAACAGCATTCTGATGTGTGAGTCTTTGGTCTCCAGGTGGGTAAGGACTGAGTGGAGGGCAATGGAGATGGCGTCTGCAGTCGATCGATTAGACTGATATGCGAACTGGTAAGGGTCCAGGTTGGGGTGGGGGAGGGCAGACTTAACGTGCCGCATGACTAACTGCTCAAAGCACTTCATAAGAATGGGGGTGAGTGCGACTTTTTCGGGACCGGGATGATGGTGGTGGTTTTGAGGCATGTGGGCACAACAGCCTGGCTCAGTGAGGTGTTGAAGATGTCGGTGAAGACATCTGTGAGTTCCTCAGCATAGTCTTTCAGGACACGACCAGGGATGTTGTCAGGGCCTGCTGCTTTCCGTGCGTTTGTCCCTCTGAAGGATCGTGTCACGCTATCCCGGGAAAGCGTCAGCACCTGGTCGCCAGGAGGAAGTGGGGTCTTCTGTGCTGGGGTGTTGTTGTTTTCCTCAAAGCGGGTGAAGAATTCATTCAGTTTGTTCAGTAGAGAAAAGGAGCTGTCGCAGGTCTGCGGAGTGGGCTTATAGTCCGTGATGGTTTGGATCCCACGCCACAGGTTCCTGGCTTCTTTGCTCTCATTGAATTAATCTGCGATCCTCTTGGAGTATTGTCTCTTGGCCAGTTGAATGCCTCGTGACAGGTTGGCCCTGGCAGTCTTAAGACCCACCACGTCCTCGGCTTTGAAGGCAGTGTTCCTGGCCCTCAGGAGCTTGCGGACCTCACCTGTCAGCCATGGCTTCTGATTGGCCCGAGTGGTGATATTTCTGTTGACCGTGACATCGTCTATGCACTTCCTCATGTAAGATGTGACGGTCTCTGTATATTCATTGAGGTCAATGATGTTGCTGTTGGTTGTAGCTGCCTGTTTGAACACACTCCATTCTGTGGTGGAGAAGCAGTCTTGGAGGGCTTCTGTGGACCCACCCGTATCTGCTTTTTTTCCGGTTTGATGACTTTAACCAGCGGCCTGTATGCTGACATTAGCATGACAGTGGTGTGGTCTGAGGCACCAAGATGTGGGAGGGGGAGGGCTTTGTAGGCTCCTCTATTGGTCGTGTAAACATTGTCCAGATTATTGGTACCTCTTGTGGGAAAGTTGACATGTCCATGGAGTTGTGGAAGCACGCCCTTGGGGTTTGCATGATTGAAATCCCCAGCCAAGATGAGAAAGGCATCAGGGTAAGCTGTCTGCTGCTTACTAATGTGCTGATGGAGTTCATACAGAGCCTCTCTCCTGCTGTTGGTTGAACCAGGGGGATGTATATAGCTACCAGCAATATGGCACTAAATTCCCTCGGCAGGTAGAATGGCCGGCATTTAATAACCATAAACTCCACCAGTGGTAAGCAGTGCTTGCAAACCACAACAGCGTCACGGCACCAGGCATAAATATGTATAAATACAATAAAGTTGAACTTGAACTTCATAAACAATAACGTAATGACCCAGTCCTTGTTTGGAGCAATTTTTGGACACCAATTACAAATAATTAGTCGTGTTCAAAATTCATACACAAACTCTTACAACTTCAAAAATGTTACATATTAGTAGTCCACAGGGTTTTAGATTGGCTATATGATCCTCAGCTGAAAATGAAACACTCACCTAAGCGTTAGATTTGAATACTCTATGTATGGTAAGAACAAAAATATCCATCCATCCATTCTCCAACTCTTACCGAAGGTCGGGTCGCAGGTGAAATGGCCTTAGGGAGCCCAGACTTCCCTTTTCTCAGCCACTTTGTCCAGGTCCTCCAGGTGGATCCGGAGGTCCAGATGCCCGAGCCACCTTTTCTGCCTCATTTGGATGCGGAGGAGTAGCAGCTCAACTCTGAGCCCTTCCCGGATTACTTAGCTTCTCACCCTATCTCTAAGGGAGAGCCTAGACGAAGAAAAAGGTCATTTCAGCCACCTCTATCCAGGATCTTGTAATTTGGGTCACGACCCACAGCTCATGACCATACATGAGGATTGGCACCTAGGTCGACCGTTCAATTGAGAGCTACTGATAGACAGTCCTCATCACTGCAGATGCTGCAGCAATCCGCCTGTCTCTCTTCAATTGTGAATAAGACCTTGAGATACCTGCGATTGCCTGGAAACCGGTTCAGGGTGTCCCCCGCCTACTGCCTGAAGACAGCTGGGATAGACTCCAGCACCCCCCGCGACCATTGTGAGGATAAAGTGGATCAGAAAATGGATGGATGGATGGACCTTGAGGTGAACTGACATCAAGAGCTACTGATACAGAGTCTGCATCACTGCTTGATACTTGAGATACTTGTACCGCTCCACTTAGGGCAGGATCTCCTCCTTGATTCGGAGAGAGCATTCCACCCTTTTCAGACTGAGGACCATTGTGTCAGATTTAGAGGCGCTGATTCTCATCCCATCTACTTCATTCTTCTTCACCATCAACACATCATCATGTGGTGATCGCACCCCCCTGCCCCCCTCTTTACCCTAGTGTCCAAGACATGCGGCCGCAAGTCCAATGACACGACCACAAGTCAATTATCTAACTCATTGAATTGAGTGGACGCTGGCGCGTTTGGCTGCCGCTGCTCTCCCACAACTTTTGTGTTTTTACGGTGTTTTTACGCTCGACTGTTTTACTGTTCTCGCACGGAACTACTGTCTTCATACGACAGTCATTCCACCCCAGTCTCAAATCCACTCATGCTTCATACCCTCAACCATTTTCGACTGTCTTCGTCCCGGTGTCTCGGCTCTCGTACCAGGCCCCGCGCCATCTCCGCTCCGTCGTGCCCCGTGATCGGGTTCGGCAGGGCCTGTGTCTGGGTTCTACTGTTGTGGACCATCATGTCACTCCTCCATCGACCTGTCGAGGGTCTGCTCCAGTATTTGGTGGCTGAGCCCCTCAGGCTCTGCTTCAAATGGCTGGGCCCTCCTCCTGCTCTACACCTGCTCCTGGACATCGCTCGCTTTCCTTCCCGGAAATACATCACCGTGGGTCTCGTCGGGGCTTCTGCCTCAACCGATCCAACAGTATCACCTCCTTCTGGTCATCCTCCCGTCGCTCACCCAGAAACGCCGGCCGGTCTGTCGACCATCGGGTGTTAACCGGCCTGGCTAGGTCGGCTAACGGTCCTCGAAACAGCGACACTGCCGGCGTCAACTTCGGGCTACTCAACATCCGTTCGCTTACAGGGAAGAGTAATCTTATCCAAGATATCCTTGCTGACCGTAAGTTTGACATTCTTTGTTTGAACGAGACCTGGAAAACTCCTGGCGACTTTTCACAACTCAACGACTCAACTCCCCCGGGTTTTGTTTACTTGTCCAAGCCCCGCGGCTCCGGTCGCGGAGGTGGTCTCGCGAGAAGTGGAAAGTACTTCCAGTC